TGTCCTCTTTTTAGAAGGAAGAAATGGGGTGCCACCCGTGTGTCAGCATCTGCGAGTGAAGCCTGGACGGCTCCACCAGAATATGAGGTCTGCTGTGCCGGGGAGCACCCCTGGAGGTGGGGTGCCTGGGAGAAGAGCCCGTAGCCTGGACTCCACCTGTCTGGACCACTCTGGCTTCCAGAAGGGGCCTGAGCCAGGTGTGAGCTTGGTCCGGGTTGGCCATCCCCACTGGCCACAGGGCACAGCCTCCAGTTTTGCAGTGGCCCAGACCTCCCAAGCCCGGGTGCCACTCTCTCACCCCTAGACAGTGGGTCTCACTGCCCAGGATGGACCCTTGCCATTCCCTTCACCCTGGGACCAGGCCTTCATTCTGTGCCCCCCAAACCCTTGTTGAACCCTCACCCTTTATTCTCCCCTCCCCAGGGCTCTGCTCCCCTTTCCCTGTCGGACCGCATCCTGGAAAGGAGCCCCACGGCAGGAAAGCTGTGAGCCAACAGCGATTAAACGCCCTGCTGCAGGGGCTTCCATCCATTAGCTGGTCGAACCGTCACCGTCCTGCGCAGTTGAGGGGAGGCCGAGCTCAGGGCAGCAAGGCACCCCGCTGCAGGCCACACAGCAGACAGAGGAGGAACTGAGACCAGAACTGGGCCCACCCGGCTCTTTCAGGCACCACCGGTCAAGGTGAGGAGTAACAGTGGACAGAGCCCTGGGTCCCTGCAGGGAGGAGGCGATGTGGAAGGGGGGTTGACAGTGGAGAACACATACTGTGAGCTTTTCACACTATCTGGGCTGCCACCGGGCAGATGTCTTGGGCTTGGGTTCATCCTGTAGCCTCCCCATTTCCTCTCCAGGGCCAGCAGGGTTCCTGCAGGACCCCAGCGGGCACGGTTGGCCCAATCTGAATACTCAGGACTAGACTGGCTGAGGGGGTCGAGCTCTGGCTGGGTGCAGCTGCAGCAGGGGTGGCTGGGACAAAGAGTGAGTCAGCATTTGCTGACTTGCAGGCCCACCCATGCTCGCCAACACAGCACGTCCTGTTGGGCAATGTGGGCTGACATTTAGATAACCTGACTGCTACCCATCCCCACCTCGGTCTGTTTTCTCCAACAGCCCAGGCCTGGAGCCTGTTGTCACGCTGGCTGAGTTGGGGCTGGTTTCTGAAAGGCCGGTTACAGCGCATGTTCTAGATGCCCTTTGTCTCCTGCTGCTCCAGGACTGATCCGGGAAGCTGTGTGGGAAGGGACCCAGATAAAGAGCGTGGGCCTTTCCAACCTGCCACAGCTCCTGCCGAGTCCCAGGGAGGGGTGAGAGAGCAGGTTCCAGCCCCTCAGAGACAGAGCCTGTGAGCACATCCCACTGATTTCTGCTGAGGCCCCAGTGCCAGAGCCACGGGCGGCAAAACCGGGCAGGCAGCGTGGGAAGGGCCCCTGGGAAGGCTGTGGTGAGGGAAGAGCCAGTCTCCATCACCTCAGAGGGCCAACGCTCCGGCAGGCTGGGCCGAGGTGGGGGAGGCTGTGGCCCTGCTGGGCGCTCCAGGCCCGTGTGGCAGCATCACAGCACAAGGGTCGGGGGTCCCTGGACGCATCCAGGAAAACAGCAGAAACACAGCATGGCCTGAAACTCCTGGGCCAGCCCGCATGACCACCTCAGTCTGGGCTTCAGACTGGCACCCTCCCAAGTGGCCTGTAACACGAGCAGGGCCCCGCTCTGGCCACCCGGTGACTTTCCAGGGGCCACTCGCACTTCCCAGAGCCAGCCCTGCACCGAGCCCTCACCCCTACCAACCACCATAGTTTCCAACTACTCGCATAGTCGCTCTACCCCCGGGTCTGTATCTGTTTCCCTTTTCTTCTACTATTCCGCCGTGCAGCTAACGTACAGAAAAGTACACAGAGCGTATCTGCTCACTTTAACCAATAGTTAGCCGATGCCGGTATTACCACCACACAGGTCTGAAGTGGAACCTGCCACTCCCACCCCAGGCTTCCTATTCATCACACCCACCTCCTGCCCCCAAAGGTGATCACTGTTGATTTTTGCAATAAGTTTTTTTCTAGTTTTCCACCGAGGCAGAGATTCCCAAGCAAGAATTTACTTAACTTTACAAGAATGGAGTCACATTACTGGATGTTTCCATTGTTTGCTTAGTTTTGAGATTGTACCCCTGTACACAGTGAGTTCATGTTCACTGGTACTGACAGCCATTAGCTGCTCCCGTTGGGGGCTGTTAAACACAAAACTGCTGTCCAGGTTCCCAGAGGTGTGGGAGTCCCTGGTCACAGCCCCCGGGAGTGGAGTGTTGGATCACAGGGTGGGTTTCCAGTTTTGCTAGAAAACTCCTGTCTTTCCCCAACTGTCTGTACATCCCCACCAGCTGGGTATCAGTTCCTGTTGTTCCATTCCCTCATCAGCCCTTGGTAATGTCTGACTTCAAAATTTTTGCTAATCCAGTTTAGCAATAGCATCTCACTTGTATTTCTGACTCCAAGTGTAATAAACACCTTTCCACAGGTTTATTCATCATGTCGGTATTCCTCAGGGCTGCCTTTCAATATATTTTTATTGATTTCAGAGAGGAAGGGAGAGGGAGAGAGAGAACATCAATGATGACAATCATTGATGGGCTGCCTCCCACATGCCCCCACTGGGGATCAAGCCTGCAACCCAGGCATGTGCCCTGACCGGGAACCGAACTGTGACCTCCTGGTTCATAGGCTGGCGCTCAGCCCGAGCCACGCTGGTGGGCCATTTGCTTTTCTTCACTGCAGTTTGGTCTGTGCCCGGGGGAAAGCCCTTTCGTTTACGTGCCGCAAATATCCTTTCCCACTCGGCTTCGTCTTGCCCTTCACTGTTTACAGTATTTTTAGATGAACAGTTTCTATTAATGGAGTTGACCAACTTTTTCTTCTTAAATTTTCCCTGCAATCATGAAACTCTTCTCATATTATCCATTTTAGTATTTAATATCTGTCCGTCTCTCCTGACCAGACTGTAAGTCCTCTTGTGACAGCAGAGGGGTAACATCTGGACTCCGTTTTGACAGAAAGAACTCATCTTAGAGGCCCATTACTCCTTGCTTTCAGTAAAATTCCATGGTTCAAATTAACCGAACCACACCCTTAAAGGAAAGACTGTACAATAAAATAGTGGGGTTTTCCCTCCAGTTGTGCCACTGAATTATATAACTCAGAGTATGTCTTCGCACACTGCGTTTAAAATATTCATGGCTTACCCTAGCTGGTTTGGTTCAGTGGATAGAGTGTCCGCCTGTGGACTGAAAGGTCCCAGGTTCAATTCCAGTCAAGGGCACAAGCCCAGGTTGTGGGCTCGATCCCCAGTAGGGGGGCGTGCAGGAGGCAGCCTATCAGATTCTCTCTCATCATTGATGTTTCTCTCTCTCCCTCTCCCTTTCTCTCTGAAATCAATAAAAATATATTTTAAAAATATATACTCATGGCTTTTTTTTTAAATATTGCATTTTGACCCAGCTATCACACCATGAACCTTTGACACAAGGCTAGGGCAGATTACTCAGTATCAAGTGCTATAACATCCTTTCTGAACATCATATCCTGCAAAATAATTGTTCTGTCAAATGGTAACTAGAATATCTGCATAAGCATTATTTTATTGGCCCTTTGAGTGGTCCACTGACCCCCGAAAATACCTTGGAATCAACCGTTGCCAGGTGACAATGGTGGGACAAGTGCCTCATCCTCATTCCCCAGCCCTGTACCCACACCAAGGCCCCTACATTAGCCATCCATAAGAACCCTTCTGGGGGCTCGACTCCCTCGTACACAAGCTCTTTTCAATAAACTCCAACTGCTTGATCGTGCACTGAGTTCAGTGCTCATTCCGACGCCGTGAGACTCAGGAACCTGACAGTAACGCACTGAGGAAAATTCTGGAAGCGATAGTTCCTCCTGTTCTCCTGAAGGAGAAAGTCAAGCAGGGCTGGGTGCTGCACAGCTAGCATGCCATCTGGTCATTACCACAATCTCATTTTCCAAGTGGGGAAACTGAGGCTCAGAGAGGTTGAGTGACATGGCCAAGAAACACAGGGCTCTCTGGTACGTGGGGACCCAAATGGTTTTGAGGGCCAGTCTGGGTACTTCCTACCAGTAAGTCCATGAACATATTGGTCTCTCTGAGCCCTGGTTTCCCCCCATCCGTGAAAGAGAAAACAGCTTATTATTGTGGAAGAAAAAGTGGTTGGAAAAATCTTAGCTGTGGGCCCGGTTTCACAAAGTGTTCGGGAACAGGATGGAAGTGCACCAGCGTGTAATTCACAGCCCGCCCCGCTCTGCTACCGTGGTCTTGGCCTCCCTAAGACAGCAGGGCAGAGGGCAGAGCCCACCCACTCCTCCAGAGGCCAGGACACCACGATTAACCCGTGAACTTTTACCCGTATCGGCTCCCCCTCTTCCGAATACCTCTGACTCCCACTGACTTTTCCACCAGGTGCTGCCTAACCCAGCTGTTGACTCAACCGACATCTGGAACACCACAGCCCATCTGGATCCAGGAAGGGATCAGCCCACACGCTCCCACATTACTGAGGGATTGAGACACCCCAAGGCACCTGTCCGAGGCTTGCGTGACGAGCGTGGCTGTCCTCTGGAGTGAGGAGGAAGCTGCCAGTTTCGATCTGCACTGATAAGAAGTACGCAGAGCTGATCAGTCCCTGGGAAAGTGGCGACTCCCAGCCCACCTGCATTCAAACCACACAGCCCAGTATTGGAAGGCCACTGACTTTATTGATCTAAAAAACTTTATATGGACAGTGACTGTTTTGCCAAAAGAGAAGCCAAACGTCATTAAACAGACCAGGGGTGAGGGTAGGGGCCAGAAATCCACTCAGAAAAGCTGATTATTGACCCAAAACTGGCAGGGGAAAGAGGGAGATGCATGCAAGAGTGAGAATTCCAAAAAAGTTGAAATGGTGAGGGGAGAGAACTCCCCCAGAGACCCGGACATCGGTGGTGGGCAGACAGCAATCGCTTCCTTGGTAGAGGACAAGGGAGTAGCCCCCACTCAGCTGCAAACTCTGAAGACTCAAGGCTGGCGTTAGGGATGGGGGGCTCCCCAGAGAGCATCACAAGAAGGCGTCACACCACTCTCGAAGGCACCCAAAGCAGTCCCGGGACTGCTTGGCGTTGGCGCCACATGTGTCCTTTAGCCATTCCCGGAAGAGGTCTTCGTCTTTCTTTAGCACCAGAAACTGGCCAAGGACCACATAAGCCTGCAAAACAGGCAACGCACAGGGCAAGCTGCTCAGTGATCTGTGAGACTCAAGACAATAAGGCCACGTGTGTGGCCTTCAAACCCCATGAGCCTAGGACCGTGGTCGGCAAACTGCGGCTGCGAGCCACACGCGGCTCTTTGGCCCCTTGAGTGTGGCTCTTCCACAAAATACCACGTGCATGTACAGTGCGATTGAAACTTCGTGGCCCATGCGCAGAAGGCGGTTTTCGGCCTGAGCAAGTCTATTTTGAAGAAGCGGCGTTAGAAGAAGTGGGGGTACGTTCGCTGAGGTCGACCCCTCAGATTGAGGACGTTTTTGGCAAAGGCCAGCTTGGGAGTACCCTAATGAGTTAATGACAACGTACCTACCTATATAGTTCAAGTTTAAAAATCTGGCTCTCAAAAGAAATTTCAATCGCTGCACTGTTGACATTTGGCTCTGCAGACTAATGAGCTTGCCGACCACG